ATTAAGCTGCCAAATTCCAAGTTTATGTTTCCACAACACGAGCGGGCTCCAGCCGAGGCACTATACTCGGAGAACTATGCTGGATTAGTGGCTGAGATTTATAGGGACAGCTATCTCATTCACATATAGATGGACTCATACAGGTGGTACCTATACTGGCTGGGGTCTCTCATGGAATGTCAAGCGCACAGTGGCATGTACAAAACCTGCAACACAGGAGTATCAGCTACGCCACTCCACAGTTGCTGGTGATGATCCCTCCAAACGGCCCATGTATGGTGGTGGGAATTTTGTGGATGTGCGGCTCCGGGTCAAGGTAATCTAGGTGACAGCGTCGTTCCTTACACATTGCTGTGATGAATTGCATGGCACTACACTGCTATGTGGCACAGTAAGCCGGGGAACAACTTTGCCTTTTACGGTGCGCACTCTCGAGCAGTTTCAGGCAGTCCCACGGGGCCCAGCTAGTAACGAGACTGATTAGAGGCTGTATAGATATTGAAAGAGATAGAAAAAAAATAAAAGATGACAAAGTATAATTCACAGAAGCAGAATTTAGAGAGAGAAAAAAGACTTGGAGAAAATAAAATAAAAGGTTATTTAAAAATAATGCAATTATTATTATTATTTTTAACAAAAGGAGATAGGTTATACTTTGAACAATTGCCCCCTAGGAGGATTGAACAGGCAGTATGACCAACTTTAATTTTGCGTGCCCTAAAGTGTACTATCGACGAAACTCTGCAATAGAGAAGCGCCAATATGATGCCCAGAGAGTTTATACTTGTTGGATCAGGAACTAGCTGCCTTAAACCCGCTGAGTTGTCTCAAGTCAGGAACTAACCGCCTCAAACTCTCGACCAGCAACTGAAACCCAATAATGCAGCAACCGGAACTCTTTTATTCAGCAACCAAAACCCTCGACCGATAAATCCTTCAACGTGATGATACTATTTTGAAAAAGCTAGCAAGGTAGATTGATGAGCTAGATCCCCAGATGCACCTAGTAGAGCGGGGCAATCGGTGAATCCCTCAAATACAAGACGGTGATATAAATACTAAAACAAAAATGATAAAATCAGGTAAATCATAAGTAAGAAAGGTAGTCTATGTCAGGGGAAACCCTGATGCCGTCACTTGATCCCATCAAGCGCCGCGTCTCCGCTCACGTCTCCGCGTCTCCACTCGCGTCTCCGTGTCTCCACCCGAGTCTCTGTATTCCTGCACCCTGACACTCCTCCTCCACTTCTCCCACCACATCCCGCATCCAGTGGTCCCCAACCTCCAACTCCCATGGCCACCCCTTTCTGGGAGTCTCTCCGGAGTCACCATCAGGGATCACTAATGCCATCGGAGACCTCTCCGGATGTGGCCGCACCACTTTCCTCTGAGACCTCGAGCCTATGGCCTTATAGCCTCTCTGGGCTGTCGCTCATCAAGGTCTCCCTGCAACCTCTACCCGTTGGACCTCTTGGGGGTCCCCAACCTATGTCAGCGTTCGGGCTTACGTTCGGATGGCTGAGCCCCCGCCATGGCTCCGCCCCCCACTCTGTCACCACGGCCCCCGTCATCGGGTCTTCCTTTGGGTGAGGCCTACTGCCGTTAAGGCTCGTGCCTACTGCAGCGCCCCAGGCTGCACGCCCTCACACCTCCACCTCTCTGGAGACGTCCGGGGACGTCTCCGAGTGACCCTCCTGTCGCTACCCCTCCAGTGGTCATGGCTGGCCGCCATTCCCATTGGTCCTTTCCGACACTCCCCGGCCCTTGGGCTAAACCGACTCCTTCCCTCTCCGCTCCATGCCCCCCCTCTCCGTTTCCGGCCGTCACGTCACGGTCACACACCCGGAATCGATTCCGATTCCGATTCCGATTCCGATTCCGGTTGTCACGGTCACGGTCACAAGCGGAGACGCCCAGAGGCAGTCTGGACCCCCAAAGCCCTTCCTGGGCCTTGTAAGGATGCCTGGGCTCTTCCCTTGGCATCATGGTCCCAAACCTGCCTCTCCGGAGCTTCGAGGGCTACTCGACACTCACCTAGGGTCCATTAGCGACACCTGACTTCTCCCATGCGTTGTTCGTCGCTATGCAGTCACTCTATCATTACTCCGGTCACTAGTATATAGTAGTGCACCTGAGCAGAGGGCTCCTTGGCTTGTTCTCTAAGGATTCCCCCTCTGCTCAGGTGAGTCTGTAGCGTCCCTTCCTGTTGTAGTAGTTTCACTAAGGATTCCCCCTCTGCTCAGGACTCTGATTTCGAGCCTCACGAGGTTGCCCTTACAGTCTATGCGCATAATTGTATTGGTATAGTTTCGCCATACGGCCCAGAGTTGAAATCGTGTAGTGGTGTCAATGACCTGTGTAAATCTTCCATATTTGCGACCATCTAGTTTTCCTTGTGAAGAATTCCTTGATCTTGAGTAGGATAAGTTGATAGCTCAACTTCCCAGCTTTTGAATGACACCCATGACTTGTATCTTGTGTGTAAGGCCTCAGCGGTGGTTGTCCCAACTCTTCTGGTACAAATCCAGTGTTCAGATGTCCAGTTCCTCGACAGTGTTTTAGAGTTGCCGTTGATTGCAGGTCCAGGCCCCAATCAATTGAGTTGGTTTCTCCTGTTTAACTGTCCCTTGGCACTCTCGATCCTCCAGCAAGATCCGAAACCACGTTCCAATGATGTCAGTTGTCGATACCAACAGAGATAGGGGTGTCCCTTATCTAGGAGAAGTTGATATCAAGTCTTCAGTGTATGCCAAACCAAATATGCCTTTTAGTTTACATTCCCTTTGGGTATTTTGTATAGAATGTGATAGATCCTAGCAAGAAACGGGCTCTGCAAACTTTTCTTAGTTAAGATTTCAGAATCACTTAGAGCAATCTGATAGATTTTGACTGGTTCTTTGACAGATAACTCCCTAGCTGACCATTTGGGACTCATATCAACGTTGGTCCGTGTATATTACTTGAAGCACCCTAAGTCTTGGGGCTTTGGTGCAACACTGCAATCATCGTTAACTATGTATACACTTGAGCTGATATCAACATTGTTTCAAATCCTGTGCTCTTGATTTCTGCACAACCTAGGTACTGATTGCATTTTAATAACTTATAAGTCAACACATAAAGATTCACTTTTTCTATTCTACTTCTGGACTCTGTGTTACAATGGAAATCTCGAGTACTTTAGGTATGTCCTTCTCCTCTGACTGACTATGACCCCAGGACTGTACAAATTCCTCATCAGTCCAAAGAGACTTTCTTGAGTTCAAGGAGGCAAGAAGTGTATTTGCAACCACTTAGTATCTCTTAGCATTATATATGACTGGACAAATCAATGAGGACATACAGTGATATTTTGTGACTTGAAATGCAATCCACACAACTAGAGTAAAATTCAGCTCAATTTAATAAGGTTATAAAAATACCAGAACTGTTCCTTACAGTGTTGTGGATTAAGCATACACTATAAGGCAATATCAGTTAAATAATGAATGAGGTATGAAAATCATAGCTTACAAATGTCAAAATGAGAGCACTAAACACTCCGGTGATAACACCAGTCTCTATATATATCATATCAGCACTTGACACTGCTAGTGTATAAGGTAAGTAACTTGCCAATGGTCCACTTGATCAAACAATCAATTACAATTCCAGTTCTTTCCAGTCCTCCTTTGCGAGTAATCACAAGAATGAGGACCAGACACAGGGCAACTGAAATATCATTGAACAGGGTAAGTATCATGGGGATAATAAAAAGCCAGTAATATTTGTTGGCAAAGGCAGCCAGGCTTTCTGCCTTGAGAGCATAAGATGCACCAAGCACAATGAGAACAGCAATGCACAGAGTGACAGCAGAGAGAATCAAAGGAATGAGCCTAAATATCCTTCGAGAGCTCAGGACCCAGATGCGATAGCAGAGCAGGCTTTGAACTATAATTTATTGGATTTGAGCCATATGGATGGCTAGAGAGAGAAAATAAATACCAATAGTTGAATTAAGTGACCCTAAAAGAATGGCAATGACAAGAGCAGGAGGGATTTTCTGCTGCAGAATGTCTGTATTGCCGAAGTGGGTAACCAAATAGTTGAAGGTCACATAGAACAGGGAGATGACCTGACCAAGATCTAGCACCCTACAGACTGTTAAATGGTGCTTTTTTGGTTGGATAGAGAAACCCCACCACAGAAGGCTGACCTAAATTCGGCAAACAGACTGAGCTTATGAAATAAATATTACAGGATAAGAAACTTACCACCACCTTTAGACAGATGATATCGTTGGGATATTGTCGACAATAGGCATAGTATTGTATCGTGGTAATTCCATACAGAAGGCTAGCACAGAAGGATCCAATCAACAAAGCACCTGAGGTTTTTTCAGTGGTCAATCTCAAACACAATTTGGAAGTCATCGTGACCAAAGGTGGGGGTTGCACTGAAGGGGATTGTCGACCCTTGAGACCACGACATCAGGGGTGAAAGTGAGATTAACAGAGGACCGAGAGGCCCCGTTATGAAGGAAACGACACAACATTCGTAAAGGCACCGTATCGCGAACACCGGATGAGAACATCAGGAATATGCGGGAAGAGACCAGGTAGCACATAATTGGATGGCGATTACTTGATATTTCGCACCTGACAGAGTTCGGGAGTCCGTATCCAAATATGATCTCTTTTCTTCCAACAGCTTTGACAGATACGGTGGGCGGCGCCAATGCGATAAGGACGTCACGAGCATCCGCATGACGAAGGAGAGCGCTAGCCTGGCAGATGCGGCAGGGCGTCTGTTCGCTACCCGCCAACAGCTGCACCGATGGCTGCCTGACTCGGAATGTCTCGCAAGAAAGAAAAGACCGAATTCGATGTCATTGGGTCCAAGTATATCTGCGCTTGCCATGCTGTTGCAGTCAGAGCAGTATGAATATATGGAATATATTGTCATTTCCCACATAGCACTTTCAGAATCAACACGTACTCGATACCCTGTGCAGAAACAAATCAAGTCGACATCAGCCTTCCAAACAAGCCCTTGGCCTTTCCCTTCCCTTTCCCTTTGCCATTTTCTGACCGTTCCTCCTCCCTGCAAATTTCCTTCTCCCTCTTCTCGTCGTCAAACTCGATACGCAGCCCTCCATCGTCTGAGACCACCTCTGCCTCGTCACCGGTCCAGTCTCCCGGCGCATCTGCCCAACCCGAGTTGGCGAAGTCACCGACGAAACATCTGCTAACACCGTGCGATTCGCTGAAGACTGTTGTTGCTGCGCTGAATGCTGGTGAGAAGCGCTTCCGGCCATCGGCCAGTCGGATAGTGAGCGGGCCAGTAAACGATCGCGGCAGGGCCAACGAAATGTGGCCGTCAGCAGTGCGCAAAGAGAGCTGGATTGGGGTGCGCGGAGTGTAGGCATTGGGGGCTGTCGAGTGCTGCGACAACTAGTCAGTCTTTGGCCACATGGGGTAGATAGGCTGCAAGGAGCAATTTGAAGGGCAGATACTCACCAAGCGCAATCCGACATTCCCGTCCTCCGTTCTGACATTCACTCGCACCCTTCCACGGCACTTACAATCCGCGCCATCGTCGCTGAGAACCCACACATTGGCATCAATGGAGCCGTCGTGGGTGTGCAAAGATAAATTGCGTCTCGTTTTCTCAGTTTCGTCCTTCTCGAGTGGGGCAAGCATCTGCGCTGGGATCTTCAGCGAAGGGTCAATGACATAAGACCCGCGAATACGCCCGTCCGGCTTGGATAAAGAGAAGTGGTTCGTTGGGCGGACGTCTAGCGGGGGAGGAGGAGCTAGTGAAGGGCTGAGTGGAGGCGGTGGAGAGGCAGGAGCGTTATAGGCCGGGGGAGGGTCATCGGCATACTGCTCATCATTCAATCCTTGTTCGTTATCGAAGAAGAGGGCATATACCGGTATTTCGACGCGATTGACAACTGAAGGCAGTTGAGGCTCCACGGCTTTGGCATCGAGGGAGGCATGTCCGGGGTCTTTGAGGTCAAATTCGGGGACGATGATCATGGTTGTGGGGAGGAAGGAACCAGTGCAATCGTGCTATATAAAGATGGTTGGAGTGGAAGCTGCGCAAGACTGACGGACTGCAGCGCAGCGACTGCGGACGATTGATGGGCCCTAACAGTTATAGGTATGCAGGAGGAGTTGAGAGCGTTTTCACTGGCAGAACTAGCGAGTCCGATGAGAACTTCAGAGAAGAAGGGAGAGAACCAGAGGCCCACGGAGGCATGGAGGTCGGTGTCGGAGATGTATATATCAGTGGATATGTCAGTCTCACAAATCATCCACGTGAGCGCATCGTGACCAGCGGGAATTACAATTGCTGGTCGTCTGAGCTGAGACTAAACTTGAAATTTGCGTCGAAAGCAGAAGAACGAAGGAAATTTCAACTTTACAGCTATAAGTGCTGTATAGTCAACCAAGTCAAGGTTTGCACAGCTGTCCGACTACTGAATATTAGATATCTACTAGTAAGTACTCAAACCAAACTTGGTGAAATGGACACGAATGCATTAAAGACAAGGCTGAGGAACACTCCTGGTAGGGAACGACATTGGAATAATCTACGGTGGGAAACTTTTTAGAATAAGAGGACAAACTATTATAGACCGCCCAGCTGGGCTGGGGTCAAAGCATTGTAAGTCGGGCACAGCGTGTGCCATTTGTCAGGCTGGACCGAGTTGACGACGGTATCGGTGTCTTCAGCAAAAGCGATCGCCAGGCCACTATTTCGAGTTGAACACTTGGCGAACGGCATACAAGAGACGCGTAACTTACACTTCAAGATGGAAGTCGATATGGCAGTGGAGGAACCATGGACCGCTGCGGAAGCGGGTTAAAATAGAAATATAGAGAAGAACAGGCAGATTGCGCACGCATTATCAGTTTCAAAACGGATTGTGGTGTTGTCGCTGAGACGAGAATAAGATTTTGTAAATGACAGCAGAAGAGTGGGAAGTTACCTCGTCGAAGTTCCTGTGGTCACAACATCGCGAATAACGGGGTCGACATAGTTGTACGCTGTGCTACCGGCGCTGCGAACGACCCAGAAGTTGTGCTTTGGAACCATAAGGAGGAGGGAGAAGAAAGAAGAAGTATACGCACACCATGCAAATGGAACGGATGGGGAGCACCAGGAGAGCCGCCAGGAATGGAGAGTTCGACGACCGAGTTGGGCGGCAGAGTGCTGACGCGATAGTGAGACGGAATGTTACGGAGACTGATGAGATGACATACTAAACGCTTCCTGCAGGGAGTAATTCAGCTGCGGTATGTGCTCCGCTGAGGATTTGGAGAAGGACAGGCGCAGTGGGTGGTACAAATTGGGCTCCATTCACGGTAAAGTGTCCACCAGAGAAACCAACGGCGAGATTTAAATTGACATCCGCTCCTCCGCGCACAGCAGCACCAGCAGCCGGACGAGCGACAAGCGGGTGGAGGTTAGTTTCAACCATGGCGTTGGTTGCTGCCACAAGTGGAGTTGTTGGGTCTGCTGAGGTGTCTGCACCAGCGTAACGCAGAATAGCGGAGTTGATGCCGTTGGCGAAACCTTTTATACTCGGTTAGCAGAAAATATGAGGAAGAAGTCAAAAATGACCTTGGGTGCCACTGTTAGCAACGGTGCGGATCCAATAGCTTCCGATAGTTTGATTGGCATTGAGGACAAACGAATAACGCTGGCCAGCGAAAATTTGGATTGAGTCCACGGTTAAGGGCTATAGCAGCGTCAGCAAGAATCATTAGGAGCCGTCAGATTCACCTTGGTGTTGACGCCGTCGACCTCGATGATCGTCATCGTATGGTTGTCGATGCTGAACTTGAAGTTGGGGCCTAAACAAGAACGTCAGACCATAGACTCCCCATAACCCACATAGACTTACCACATGAAAGCGACACAAGACGGTAGCGATAACGCTTCCCCTGAGTAACCGACACGACCGATAGCTGAGAGGTCGGACCACCAGCATAACGGCCAAGACCGTTGATCAACGTTGAAACGAGGGTGGGGGCGCCGGGGAGTGTGTGAGCAGGTGCATGATACCAGTCGGCCAAAGTGATGACTGTACTATCGTCGTCGACGTCGTACAGGCTAGCGTGTGGGTCATTGGGGTCATAGACTGAGCGAAGAATTAACCAAAAAGCAGCGAGAGTAAGAGGACAGCACATACCAACCATGGCGCCGCGAAGACCATCACAGTATTGGGTGGAAAGATGGGAATGATACCAGTATGTGCCTGGGAGAGAGAGGTGTTATTGAAGGGCGAATCCGTTTTGAAGTTTTACCTGGCTGTCCTACAGTCGAAAACTCGTATACAAAGGAGTCGTTCTGAGCAATAGGGCATTGAGTAACAAATGCGGGCCCGTCTGCCCAGGCAGTGTTAGCCTGGAAGCTATTGGGTCATTAGCGGGAGATATCAGCAAAGGAAGAGTCTTACAAGCCGTGCCAATGAATGGAGCTGCTTAAAAGCATGGTGCTGTCGGTGAGCGCGTCGATAACGTTCAGCTGGAATGTATCGCCGACGTTGGCCTTGATGAGGGGACCGGGAATGGTGCCACCAGCGGTGACAGCACTAAAACTTCGTTAATTTGGATGTCCCTTAGCGCGATATGAATACTGACGAGCGGGTGAAGCCATCGGGGGCAACCAGGGCGTTGACGAGCGTGATGTCCGCGACGGGACCAACCGAGCCAAAGGCTGAACGAGCAAAGGCAAGAGAAACGAGGATGGTGGCCGCGGCGGTAAGCATGCCAAAGTGTGCAACGAAGGAGAGAAGTTTGGATTGAAGACGAGCCACTTTCGCCCTGGCTTTTAAAGTCTCCAGGCCGCTGCGCAGTCTGTTGTACCGAATCTCCGATTTGCTCACTGTCCGCATATCAGCTTCACGACATCTACCCAAGCGACGTGTGGAACTTACAAGTTACCAGATTCGAAGCGGGAAAGTGCTGATGCGATTCTGCAGGCGACGGAATTCATCACCGTGGACTGCGATCATTCTGAACCAGTTCCTAATGCGGGAAAACATATAAGGACGAGCGAGCACAGACGACAACCCAATCAACCAACCTGACCATCATGCTCAAGTCCCTCCTTGCTTTTGCTACTTTCTCCTCGCTCGTCGTGGTCAGTCTCCCCTTCTTCATTTCTTTGCAGTCACTAGAAACATCGTCAGGCTGCCCCCGCGGCTATATTCACCGTCACTCGTGAATACGAAAAACTCACCGACGTGTCAGTCCCACTCCGCCTCCATTGGCCAGCTGTACTAACCTATTTTCCAGCGCGCCGTTTTTCGTCAAGGCCACCACCGTGGTCGCCTGGATGTGCGTGTTTTCCTGCTTTCCACCACACTGACCACCAACACCCGTCTGCAGCGCGAAGCCAACCACCAGCGTCGTCAACCCCACCGGTATTCGAGTCGCCAAAGTTTAGCGTAGTCATTGTATCGTCGTAATACATCTTGAAGGATACTATCCGTATACGCGAGATCGTCTTCAGAATGCGCCGTGAGAGTTAGGGAAAGAGACTCATTGATGGCCGACACGCGTCACACTGTGACATGACTTCATGCCTACTAAACACTTTTGAAACACTTGCTAAACACTGTAACGGATTGTCCCTATGCGATGTGCCCTTGCGGCCCGTGCGCAAACACAGATGACAAGTCGTCCTTGGCTAGCCATGACCGCATAAATCGACCGAAGCCTCAGCTTGTTTGCAACTCGGAATTGAACGACTGGGACTTATGGATCTGGAATCATGAAGCATCATACTACCGATTCCAAGCCAAGTCCAACAGAATAACTTTCAGGGAACTGCGCGTTTACGACCCACCGGTCCGTCGGAAGACCTGGATCGTTAGATTGCCCACAGTCTGGCGAACTGCGCCGACACTTGAAAGTTGAAAAAGCGAAACAATCTTCGGGTTGATGGGCAACTCCAGTGAATGATCATAATGGCCAGTCGTATTTACGCACTGGCATGAGATCGACGTAGTAACGATCGTCGCTCCGTACGCCAATCAAGCAGACTGTTCAGGCTTGCAGTTGCCGCCTGAGGCATTTACAGCTTCCGGCCGATTCCGCCGTCCAAGATTGGTCCAAGAACTGGAACTTATTATGAAAATGAGACCTCATAGTCAGTTTTGCATCCCAAAAGGAACTTGAACTCATCCGCGCCAACTGAAGCTTGAAGGATACTCGTGCGCCAAGTCGGATAATCGGTGCACGGAAGATGACACCTGAGGTCTCTGTCAAGCCATTTACGTACTTCAAGTTTCGATCGAGTTTCTTCTTTCTTTACCGCTAACAAGCTTCTAAAAGCTGACATCTCGAATGGGCTGTGGACAATCTCGCAATCTTCGCCTCCGACAGACCGCAACTACGTACTGATTCAATTTTCGTGCCTATTAAGCGGCGCAAGCAGATCTAGAGGCCAAAACGAGTGTTATTTGACGAAACGAGAGTGGGAGTATATGCACGCGTCGCGTTGGCGTGGTTACGCCGCAACGGTTCCAAGAAACTTGAAGGGGGAAGCCAAGCCAAGCCACTAACTATATGCCCGACTAAGTGATAGTCCATAGTCCATAAGCCATAAGATACGGAGGGAAAATACGCTGAGGTTAGTGTAGTGTAGTGTATATGCGCGGAGAGATGGAGAGAAAAAAAAAGTCTTTTTTGTCTACTTGGAGAAGGGGAGGTGTTCGAGGCCGTACGCAGCGGCGGCCTGGAAGGTATTGCGGAGCAAGTCCGCGGGTGACGTCGGTGCCTTTTCGACACAGGCAGAACCATCCGCGCTTGGGGCAAAGCCGTTGAGGCAGCGGCGCACGGAACAGCGGCCCGCAACACACGCGACGTCGGCAACATGGGAGAGGGCACTGCAGTCCACACCCGCGGGCTCAGCGCCGGGATCGGTGAGCGAAGAGACAGTGCCGGTAGGACACCCGCCGCAGCTTTCGAGGTCGTTCTTGGTGTCGACACACTCCCAGTCACGTGGTCCACCTCCGTGGACA